AAAGAAACGACTAAAAATGTATGTATGTATATACCGCAATTAACTCAATTTATTTAAAATGTATTAAATTTTAATTAAAATGTTTTAAATCAAAAGATTTTGAATTAGAAGTGTCCAACATCACAAAATCATATAATATTAAAACTATTCAAAACAATAAAATATTAAAAATTAAATCACTCTGTGGCCCAATTTACACTATCATATATACTATCATATATCCCATAGATGAGACAGGGAAGAGAGTGTGATGTGAGTTCATAAATTTTAAGCAACGAAATTTGAATTGTTTAATCAGCTTGACATGCATGTTATCCCCTGCTCTCACTTTGTAGGGTTAAGTATAAAACATAAAGTTATTTTGTAAGAGAAAATATAGAGAATAAGTTAGAATTTAAATTATGATCTGAGCAAGCTTTGAGTGAAAAGCTTTATTTGTAAGCTCAGATTTTTTGAATATAAAAGTAGGAGCATTGCTCACTTAGATTAGATTCATGTACGGTTAGAATATGGTTAAATGTAAATGCTATTCATTAAATAAAATATTTTTTAAAATATAACGGGACTTATTATCTCATTAATTGGCGCTCGAGCAGGGACATTGAAAAAAAGTGTTGTACGGAAAATGATCGGAAGTGATTTGAATAAAACATTTGGTGAACTAAAAAAGTGTATTACAAAGTTGGTGAAAATTTAAAAGTAACCAAGAAGTATTTTATCACAACAAGCCAAATTCAATAATAAAGAATCGTACGGTCACAAACACTAATTTCAAGACATTAAGATAATTTAATAAGAAAGTGACTTTCTATAATCAGCCGCTTCGAATAAATGATTTATTTGCTGCCAACTGGAGCTGAAGAAAAGGATTCCTAGACAGCATAGAACCCAATCATCAACAATCAAGTATCCTCATCATCAGGAGAAATGTGAGTTAGGTTTAAAAAAAAACATAACAATTTTTGTATGAATAAAATCAAATTAAATTATTGTTATTATTTTTGAATTGCCATCGTGAAGAAAAAACGAACATAAAATTATATTAAAAAAATCTTATTAAGAATATTAAATATTATATAATTGAATTTAAAATTAAAAAATGAACATAAAATTATATTAAAAATTTTTACTAAAAATATTATATATTTTATTATTTAATTATATTAAAAAAATAAAAATTTTTTTTGTAAATATTTTTTTCAAATATATTGAAATTAAAACTATATTGAAATTACATTGTTAACCACCCTTAAATCTGGAAGAACTAACAGGAAAATTTTCAAACATGACTACAAACGAGAACACTACTTTCACCTCAGACTTAGTAACACGTCTTATAGCTGCTAATACAGCATCCTTAAAATTAGAAATTGACGGTCTGAAGAGACAAATACAGACATTAGTCGATGTCAATACCGTAACGGAATTTAAAACTGAAACAATAGACGAGACTATACACTGTGACGAAACTTTAGATGTAATCAAAAATCTCCCTCAATTTAACGGTAAAGACGGCTCTTACGTGAGCTGGCGCGAAGCCGCAAATAATTCTCTTAACCTATACACCCGCGGTAGTAGAAAATACTTCGCCGCTTTAACCATTCTTCAAAATAAAATAACTGATGACGCTAATGACGTATTGACCAACCACGGCACGGTTTTGAATTTTGATGCAATAATCAGTAGATTAGACTTCGCTTATGCGGATAAGCGACCAATACATATAATCGAATAAGAAATAAGTGTCCTAAGATAAGGCTCAATGACAATTTTGGACTACTATAACGAAATAAACAAAAAACTAACAATGCTAATAAACAAAACTATAATGACATACGGTAATAGTAACCCTCTAACCGCAGAATTAAATAAAAAGCATCGTGAGA